GGCCTGCGTCTCCTGCCATTTGCGAGCGATTTTAAGCCTCCTGCCTTCAAAGTTTAGCTCTTATCAGGATACAGGATATCTTTCCTTTACAATAATTATAGTGCGAGGGGCGGCTTCTTAAATATTGTCCTTAAGCGCAGTTGGTTTGGAATAAGGTGCCATTTACCCATCAATAGGTTCTTTAGAATAGTTAAAGCCGGATGATATTGCGTTACAAAAGGCAATGTATTCTTCTGTGTGCTATTTTCTTTGTTTTTGAGTGACCTTTCTGTCCCGGAGAGAATAACTTCAGTGACAACATAAAAATATGTTTCGCCAAAATTTCCTTTGATTATCCTCTATTCCTTTGGCGTATGTTGAAATTCTGTGCGTTTTTATTAAACATGGAGGGTGACGAGTCTGTTCTTAGGGGGTGTTGTGCTTCTCCTTTTAAGAATCCTTGCTCCACGCGAGATGGATGACAAGAAGCAAAATTCGTGCACTGTAAGATCTCTGTCTCCGTAATGTGTTTGCACTTCATGGGTCGATTCCTTGTTAAAATATCTCTCCTTTGTGCCTATTGAGTCCGAGAACGTAATTTCTGAATCTGATATTCAGTTTCAGTCGTAAAATTTGATTGTTTTGAGGTAGCTGTTTACCCGTTGTACAAATTCTTCGATTTTGGTTATACTCAACAGACTTGAGGGTTAGTTGTGCTCTGGTCGATAATACCTTTTCTCATTTTTGCCATGAAAACATTGACAAAAGCTACGGCCATTATTGTACCCATCGCCGTTCCGTGGATTTGTAAATAATTCTGTCTGTTGAATTGGAATGAATTTTCTTGTACATTAGGCAGAACATTTGCTTTTAGAATTTGGTTAGGCCTGGTAATTAAATTGTTTTAATAAAAGTAGTTGCAAGCTTTTCATCAACAACTGTAGTAGGTACAATAATGGCCTAAATTCTAAAATGGCGGCCTACGTTTTCCCATGTTGACGGGGAAGTGTGAAACGCGATAGGACAAATTCATTTCCGAAGAGCACAAAAGATGCTACAAAGTTTGGCGGATCGTCTTTCAAAAGTAATAAAAGAGGTTTCTGCTGATAAATATTTTAAAAAAGCCTATTATCTTCTAGTCGAAATTGATTGCTTATCTCGGTGCGAGTAAATAAAAAGATTGAAAAAAATGTGCGAATGCTTCTCTATTAAGAGAAAGAGGAGTTACAACAACAACAGAATTCGAGCGATTATACTAAAACGATTATTCGCCTCAGGCTCAAAGAATATATATGTGTTATTTGCCGGCTGGGAGGTCCGTATGGTGAAAAACTGTGAC